TGTGCCTGATAGCAATGGACAATAACTGTCGATGTGCTTATCTTTTATAGACTTTGAGCCCTGCATCTGGGCTGTAATGGTTACGCACTTCGCAGTCACCTGGAGAAGACCCAAGTTCCACTCCGAGTGGGGCCGAAGTTTGTCATCTCCTAAATTTTTTAAATGTGAGGCAGCGTGGTGGAATCAGGCTTTCGTCAAAATAATCAAAGTGAAGAAACCGGCATTTTCCGCAGGTATTTGAATTTTTATCAATTTTTTTTTAAATTTTTTTTTGGGGGGGACACCTTTCCTGCCCATTAAATAACTTATTTCTGTGTCGATTTTTCTGAAAAACGTTGATTAAAGGCACACAAAATGGAAATTTTCAGTTGCCACGGACTCTTAAGCTAAGGAAATAACAAATCTTTGGCGGTCATTTTCTCACTAATTTTTCCTCTGAAAACAAGTGACCCCCACCTCTTTCAATTGCAAATATCTTCCATTTGTATTCAAGATAAATGGACATTTTTTCCATCCTAATAAAGACAAGTGAACAAACTTTAAGATGATACCAATAACTCTACATGCCCAAAAATTGACGAGAGCCTGATTCCACCGCGCTGCCTCACATATTGTGTCGGTGGGGGAGTAAGAACACCTACAGTAAGAACAATGAGCTTTGCTATCACATGATCACTCACGTGACCGTTAAAGCCAATGATATGCCTCAGTCTGAGCTGCTTCACATCGTCACAGGGAGCTGAGAGACTGTCAGAAGTGGCTTCCTTTTCCTGACCAATCATCGACATCTTGGAGGTATCGTTTCTTTTCTGTGGAAGGCAACATTAGTACAGTACTTTGACATTCTCTGTCTGTCTGTCTGTCTGCCTGCCTGTCTGTCTGTCTGTCTGCCTGCCTGTCTGTCTGTCTGTCTGTCTGTCTGTCTGTCTGTCTGTCTGTCTGTCTGTCTGTTTGTCTGTCTGTCTGTCTGTCTGTCTGTCTGTCTGTCTCTGTCTCTGTCTCTGTCTCTGTCTCTGTCTCTGTCTCCCTCTGTCTCTCTGTCTGTCTCTCTCTCTCTCTCACTCTCTCTCTCTCTCTCACTCTCTCTCTCTCTTTCTCTCTCTCTCGCTTAATATAACTTAAAAGGTTTAATATATTACATAATATATGTAGTATATAATATGTGAGCATATGTGAGCATATATTATTATAAACTTATACACTCTTATCACACATCACACCTGAGATATTAGTTAGATTCTCAAGCGGGAAGGTTTTTTTCGAGTAGTTCTGTCTGTCTGTGGGAACGTAATATTTTCTTTTCAGACTGAGTTGTCCCTGACAGCAAGGGTTGAATTAGCCAGCCTCCTAATTAATCTAAACTTTTGTCGAGGGGTGGGTTGAAGGAAAAGGGACGGGGTGGATGAGTGGAGCGAAAAACACCACAACTATCTTTATAACATTGCAGCATCTTGCAAACTTGAACTTGAAGATAAAATTACATGATTGGAACGCGTTCAGCACAGGGTCGACAGAACAACAGAACACAAAAGAGGGGATATTTTGAGCGGGGTATACAAAAAAGTTGAGTTCAGTATTTTGGAAAATTATTATGTTAGTGGCTTCAGAGGGGGAAGAGCCCCCCCCCCCCACCCCCTCCCCCTGCACCCCTATCGCACCCGCCTTATTGCCATTTTATTGTTTTTGCAAATTATAAAGCCAATATTCACACACACCAAATTCTATAATAATATCCACTCCTCTCTTCCATTATATAGATCTACTCCTAATCCAACAGTTCTTACCTAACTATGTAAAGTCAGGCGTTCACTCATGTCACAGCAAAATGTTTACAAGGTTTTTTTAGGGGAGTTTAGGCCTTTTCTTGTGGAGATGTAGATTAGTTGACCCGGAAGTGTTTTTGATGACGCAGCTTTTTGAACATTTCGTTGGAACCATTTGGTTTGAGAGTTGAAACTAGATTCAGTCAAATTTCTTGGGTTATTATACTAAAATGTTACTATCCATCTATACAGCTCATAATTGTGAATGTGATTTCAGCTAGACAAGAATGTTTAGGGAGCTAAAGTCCTGCTTTGGATAAGATAAGATTAGAGATAAGAAAAGACATCTTTATTGTCTAGATCCTGGCACATTGGTTTGGTGTTTCACCACGTACATACACACACACACACACACACACACACACACACACACACACACACGCACGCACGCACACGGATACGCACGCGCTTGTGCACACCCATATATATACACAAACACTTTTCCCTCACACATCTTCTCTTCCACACAAATCTATGCACATTAGCATAATAATGCTATAGTATGCTTGCACTCACAAACACTCAGATAATAATAATAAAGACACATTTAAAGACACCATTTTTATATAGGTATAATATTCACCTTCGATACAATGTTCTGTAAATGACTATAAATCAATTTATGTATTTTGCGAATTGCATTGTGTATATTATTTTATTATGCATGTATTTGTATGTGTTCATTTCGTAACGATGTGTAAGCGTGCGCGTGTGACAAGCAAGTGGATGTGTGTGTGTGTGTGTGTGTGTGTGTGTGTGTGTGTGTGTGTCTGAGGGGGGCAGCAAAAGACTGGCTTGTCATATATAAATAAGTATAAAAGAAGAGATAAAGAAATGGGAGACAGTGTAGAATAAAAAAAAAAGCGTGTTAGCGCCCCTCAGCAATCATATAAGAAGATAAGAGAATCTATAAGAATGTTTGGTAAGAGAAGGGATTATAGAGAGGGGAGATGCACGGTCCAATACGAAGCCACATCGTAGATAATAACGCTCTAAATGAGACTACAATAGGAGGGGTGGAGCAGCAGTGAAGGAAGAGAAGAGGACAAGATTATTG